TTCAGAAAAATCTCAAAGCTGCCATACTTCACTCACAGAATAATTTCCTCCCACATCGAAAAATGTATCATTTGTCAGTATGTTCTTCTCAAATAAGGAGATAAAATCATTCAAACTGTGAAGAAATGTCTTTATTATAGTCTCTAGTTAAAGACAGAAATGTAGAATAAAAATTCCATGTTCTGCTGTACTTTTTGATCCTATCTTCTAAAATGTTTTTAGAACGGCGTTGCAGATCTAGAATGTAAACCTTCAATTTCTTTTACATTTTCAAAAGTGTACTGGAGAAAAGCACATGAAGTTTCACTCCAGAGCATTCTATGGTCATTACATAGTGCCTAGATTGAGTAGAAAGAAATACCCTGAGTGATTCAGTTGTATACCTGTAGACATTGTCTCCATTTACTTAATATATTTTATAGGTTAATTGGTAAAATTCAATTAAAGAGGATAAAATTATAGTGGACTGTCAGGAACATGAAGATAAGAGGCAGAATCTTCCTGGTGGTTAGATGTCACTCGGCCATTGTGCTTGTTTGACCAATGTGAAGATGTAGCACACGGCATAGGGCATTTCTAAACTCGTCATGATCTCATGTTTTTTGCCAAGATTATACTGATTCAATCCTTTTGATTGTTTATTTTTTGATAGTTTGTCAGATTCCGTTACTTTCTGTCCTTGGAAATTTATGGCAAGTCTTTTTGTTTCTCACATATAAGAAATATGACAATCATTTTCTTTATATAGTAATCTAATCTTCACTAAAAATTTTACTTGTATAAGGAATAATATAATACTAGTAAGCAGAAATTGCCAAGACTAATGAAAATTCATTGTCATCAGTTGTAATATTTGCTAATCAAATTACAAAACAAATTATAATATTAACTCTTTAAAATTAATATAATAAATATTAAAGTTAATTGATTAAACATATTAATGTTTTAATATGTTTATTATTATATAATATTAATATAATATTATTATTAGTTAAAGTTATCAAAATTATTTTTCTTATTTCAAAAATAAAATTTGAGAAATGAATATGAAAGTGTGGCTGCAATCTATATAAAACTTAAAAGTCAAGGACGAAAATTAACAATAAACTGGCCATTTGCTACTTAAGATTGATTTTAAAACTATATATGGGAACTTGTGTCTTAACACATGGTGTATAAACTCAGATTATTGAAGATACAGGTAGAAGCAATTTGAAATGTGTGAACCTTTGTTAGGTATCAAACCACTAAGACTTAAATGAGGCCCTTTGTAGAAACATAGACACTGTGCACAGCAGAGTCTTAAAAGTGAAAGGCAAAACTAGAAAGGCTGTGTTTTATTTTCCTAAGTGGAAAAAGAATCTGTAAATTTTAGTGAAGGGAAGAAAAATCTTCTTTGTAGCTTTTGTTTCCTTTCATTTTATATGAGTATGTGCATATTGCCAGTTCATGTAGAGTGCAAAACATGTGTGTGCACACACATGTGGAAGCCAGAGGACAGCATGAGGTGTCATCTTCAGGATCTGTTCACTTTCTTTTCTGATCTTTCACTCGGACCCAGTGTTGAACTAAAACCAAAGTAGCCTGGGCAGCCTGACTGATAAGGTTGTGTTTCTACTTGACTTTATTTCTGCCACTCTGAGAAGACATGCCCTTGCCAACACTCACAGCATAATGGCAGATTCTGGGTGTGGAAGTCAGGTCCTCAAACCCTGGCTAAGACATGTCAGCTTTATGTTTTAAAAGAAATACATTGCATCTTTACTGTTGGAAATAATATAAAATGATAAGATGTTTATTTTTATCACCTTTATCTTTGTGCAACCTTAATTTCTAAAAATTATAATATTGTGTTTAAAGAATTATTATTAAATTATTAAGTCGCTTGAAATAATGTTTTAAAATACTTCATATCAACATATGCATATTGTATGTATGTATATGTAACTCATATTGTAGTTATGGAAAATGTATTTATTTATTTTACTAGCATGTGCTTTATATACTTTCTTTTTAAAATCTCTAAATATTATCTATTACCAGGAGGAAATCTCTTTAAGCATATTGATTCTTGGGTTGTTCACAATAATCACTTGAGCTAATACCTGTAACTATGGATAGGCATGAAGTTATTGCTCTTGGACTTATTCATTCCTTTCTTTTCAAAACACTTATATATATGTAAATTAGTAAGCCTATCTAAGAATTGTTTCCCTCTTTTTTCCTAGCTATGTAGTCTTTGGCAACTCAGTTACCATTTCTTTATAACTTCGCCTTTATGTGTAAAAGTGTGTCTTATAGGCTTTTGGTAAAGAATAACTTCCACAGTACATGGAGTTTATCCAACTTATCCAACTGTAGTATATAGTCAGCATTTTTGTCTTAAAAATCTTGGTAGATTCAGGCAGTTAGTTATTTTAACTTGAATCATCTCAGCAAATTGTCCCAATAAAAGTCAGCTTTTATTCTTTCTTGATGCTCAGTGTTTACACCACAGAATCTGAAGGATATATGCATGTAGTATCTAGGAAAGACATATGACAAGGAAGTTAAAGTGCTAACCACATCTGAAGTATCTAACTTAAAAAACAAAACAGCAAAATGTGGTCAAGAAGAAAAATAATCCTGGCAGTTTGAAAAACTAGAAAATGTTTAGCTTTTAGATTCTTATTCTCTGTAAATAAAAAGTTCTTATTTGTATTATGTGTACTGCTCTTCATTTATTTAGGATGATTTTGAATAATTATGACTAGGAGTAGTAAGAGTAGTTATTGTTGTCTACATTTTGCATTTCTAAAATACATTTGAACTAACTTTATGTATTTTCTATTCATTCAATTTTTGTACTGCAGAATATTATTTTATATGTACCACAGGCTAGATTTGCCTGAGCCTTCTGAGTACTAGGATTACAGGTTGGGACCACTGTGTCCAAATCTTGAATAAATATCATGTGAATAGTTTTGAAACACAACATACATTATAAACTAAAAAGAATAACTTGCATAGCCTCTAAGTTAAAGGAATAATTTGAAATTCTCCATTGCATATATTTCATTTATGTTTGAATTAAACAGAATGATTTTTATTTAATAAGATGCTTGCTATGCTATTGAAAAATGGATGGAAGATAGTTCATTCTTCCTTATATTCAGACGAAAACAGTCTTCTTGCACTAAGATCAGTCAGAACACATCTTGATTATGTCTATGAGTCGCTCCTACCTAAAACTGCATAAAATGTTCATACAATTATCTGCAACCTGATTCAATCTATAAAAACCATCAAGCTGGAAAACATATAGTTCTAAAAAATAATGTTACACACAGTGTAAAATAGCATGTTTGGATCTTTCATCTGTCTGTGATTCCTGAAACCCTACACAGAGCTTTGGTACCCATAAGGAAGTCAATGAATGTCTCTGTTACTTTCCTATCCATAAAATGTGCAGGAGTCTAGGCACAAGTTAGCTTCATTATTAGTTTGCACTAGCTTGAACTCTGTATAGCACTTAGTGGCTTCTGCTATAACTGTCATTTTATGGGCAAACATCTTCAAGTTTTAATTAGTTCATTATTATTCTAATCCCTTGTTAAACTTATTAATGATTTTTTGTGAGTTTAACATCATGCACCTGAGTCCTGCTCAAACCGCTGTCATCTTATATCTACCCTTTGTGCTTCCAAACTTTCAATGAGTGACACACACACACACACACACACCACCACCACCACCACCACCACCACCACCACCACAACAACAACAACAACAAATCATAGAAAGTATCCCATCATGGAAGCTCTACTGTGTTACATTGTGCTGCAGAGTATATCCTTCTGTCCACACACCTTCACTTGCAAATGCTTATTGTAATGAATCATTGGTTTATCTCTGGCCTCTGTGACATCATCAATACCTGATCTTCACCAGGACTCCTCCCTGTTGTCCCGTTGTCTTGTGTGATGGAGAACCTGTAGCTTTGGTAGAGAAGGACTGGCTCTTTCACATGTCTCAACCATTCACAGATGATACAGATTTTTGAAAGGGGCAATTCAGAGCCTTAAATCTGGGCCTGGGTGATGAGCCTGACAACTCTTCCCTATCTGTACCACCAGGGTGAATGCTCCAGCACTGCTCTGGCTAGGCACCTAAAGCCACTATTGGGAGGGGGCAAAGTCAGCTCTCTTGCTCTCATGATTTGGGGGCTTGATCACTGCACCACCTCCATATCAGGGTCTACTGTGCTGCACAGTCAAGGTGAAGGACCCAGTTTCATAATCTGAAAGGGTCTGGACCATCTCTCCTGCTCTCTTCCTTGGATCTGGCTCTCCTAACTGTTATAGGTGGTGAGGGGCAACTGGGTGAAGGCATCACCCCTCCCTGCACCCATTTCGTCTTGTAACAAAATGTCTGTTGGCTGGAGTCAGGGTCAGCTCTCCTGGCATTGTGCTTCTAGGCTATGCTTCCCTGGAGGGCTACAAGGACTGCTATCCTCAGTGCTGCAATCAGCTATGGACAGGGTCTATTTTCTCAACTGCAACAGGTGGGGAACTGTTTGGGGTGTCAGGGCATCACCCCTTCACCCATGCCACCTTACTCAGATGGGTGGAGGGGCCGAGTCGCCTAAGCTCTTGCTATCAAGGCTGGGTCACCCACATTCCCTTGTTAACTTGACAAGAGCCAGCCTTATTCTACAGGCTAGGTGAGGTGAAGGGCCTGCTCTCCCAAGTGCTGCCAACAGTGAGGGACAGGGACAACTCTCAAGCTCTAATGACCGACCCTACAGGGTCAACTCTCCTATACTTATACCCTTAGGGTCAGCTCACCCAAATCCCTTATACCAGGACAGCATTACTGTGCTGCCTGGCCCAGGTGTAGTGCCTGCTCACCACAGTGCTGCCACTGGTGAGAGATGAGCCCAGCTCTCCTAAGTGTGACATCCAATGAGGGGCAGGACCAGTTATGCACATGCCTGAATTTCATTTGATTTGATATGAATTTTATGAATCCTAGGCATAAGATAGCATTGGCCACCAAGCTAGGCATCAAGCTAAGATAAACAAAGGACTGCCATCTGATCTGCCCCTGACTGATTTAAGAATGACACCAAAACCAAGGTGACTCTTTTCCCATTTCCAGGAGGTATTATTATTATTATTATTATTATTATTATTATTCATGTGTGCATGACATGAGGGGAGTTGACACCTGCCAGGATGCATGCTTCTAGCTCAGAGGACAAATCTGTGGAGTCAGTTCCTTCGTTCAGTCTTTACATGGGATACTGTCATCAGACAGCCTTCTGGGGACAAGTACCTTTACAAACTAAAGTATCTCACTAACTCTTACTTCTTACTTCATTTTAGAGATAGTGCCTGGAAAGTTTAGAAAAGATTTGGTATAACATGAGATTATTCCTTGAAACAGAGTGGGAGAGTATTACAAGTATTATTTATTTTATTTAATTAAAAGGTATTGAGCACCAAAGCAACAGACCCTCTGCTGTGAGGAGCCATAGCCTGAGCAAATTTATCATCCCCGAGCTCAGGTGACATCTGAGTGATCTGAGTGGTAGTTTTGTGTGTGCTTTTCCTTGGAACTCAGGTAGATCTCTATGAGTTCAAAACCAGCTATCAATATCTGTAGCATTAAAGCTCAGCAGAACAGCATTCTTTAAATTCCTAATCTCACTATGCAAAGTGAAAACATCCAGAGAGTTGTTAGAATTATACCAAATATCCTACAAGTGTCTCTAAACATTTTTCTAATTATAATGATTATCATTGTAAATTTTAGAAGTAATACAATGCCATTGGTATTTGTCATGACGCTCAAAATGGCTCCTTACTCTTAAACTCTGAACCTCCTTCCCATAATTTGAATAGGATAAAGAGCAGCAATGACTTTGAGCTAGGACAGGGAAGTAGGCTCAGATATTTTGGTCATCCTGATAAGCCCTTAGAAACAATGATCACAGGAGTGTTCATGGGACTCTGTTTACTGCCTAGCTTGTTCTCTGGGCTTATTGTCTTGCTTGTTCCTTGACTATTTGTATCAATTGTATTGTTAGTTCCTCAACCTAGAACTGACCTTAATACTTGAATGAAATTAAGATGGTATAAAAGCAAAAAGGTGGAGGTGGGATGTGTGTGTGGGGGGGGCTATGGGGAAAGGGGATAACATCTGAAATATAAATAAATAAAATATCCAGTAAAAAAACAGGTAGCAAAACCCTGTCTCAAAAATAAGTTTTTGACTTCTTTTTTTCCCATAGAAATGATAGAGTAAATTAGCCATGAGCTTTCATTTTGTAGGACTTCAAACATGGACACTGATGTCAGAGCTTCACAGTTTATTAGTGAAGACATACAATTATTTTTTCAATCTCAGGCTCTGATTGCAGCCCATGGGGCAGCTTACAATGCTGCTTTCTCCAGAGCCAAGCATTCCATTGCTTTCTCCCCAGGAGCTGCTGCAGTACTACTTAGTGTACATGAACAGCACATCATTAGCCAGGCACCACCAGATCTTCAAAACAAAAAAAATGGCTGAAGCTGAATTAGATACTCTCCCTCCAGGAATGAGCACAATGAAGCCATATCACACCGAGACAGTCAAGCAGGGGCACAGAAGAGCACAGCTAATTTCATTTCTTTCTAAACATTAGAGTATTCATGGTAGTTGTTCATTTTACCTCATGTACTATATCTTTCCAGGTCTAGCAACTATTGCTATCAGAATGATATGTGAGGTGGTGGTCGAAAGAGAAATTAAATCTGTTGAGATATAATAATAAGAAAATGAATAGTCATGGGGCCCCTTATGTAAGTATTGATAGCTGGGTTTGATTTCAATTTCCACTTAGCTGTTCCACTGACATAGTTTAAAAACAGGTAAGTACTGTAGACTTCCATTTTTGTGGTGTGCTGTGGATTTTATCTAACTAAACAATACATGAAATTGCTAAGATTTAATTTTGAGACAATGACTTACAGAAACATATTCAAGATGACTGTTAATGCAATGTTATTTGAAAAAGATTACTTCACAATTAATAACACACTAGGGTGTTTGTTGGGTGCTCCTTCTGAACTTAAATGTCGTTTTGCCTTTCTTACTAGGGCTGGTTTTCCTAAATCATAAAAGCGTTGTTTTTTGTTTTGTTTTGTTTTTTTGGAGAAGGAATTCTTGGAAACACAAGCCGGATGGGTTTTGTTGTTGTTTGTTTGTTTTCTCTGCTTTAAGCAATTCTTTGCTGTGTGATCTATGCTTATACTTGTGTTTTCAGGTGACTTCTGGGATTTTGTTTTGACCTCAGAAGCACTGTTAATACACAAAAGTTTGGAAATGATCAATTTTATCTCTGAGTTTTAGATGTGAACAATAAACATATCCACATTTTAAAGAACTGTGTTTCTGTTTTTGTCCATGTATGCTTGGATGCACATGGAAGCTAGAAGGGTCATATAATACCCTGGAGCCTGAATTGTAAGTGGCAGTAAGCTGCAGACCTCCTCTCTGAGGACGTTATTTATGCCCTCTGGAAGAGCAGCTCTTGACTGCTGAGACACTTTTCCAGCTTCACACTCACATTTGCTCAGTGCAGATCCTCTTTTTCAAAGCTTCCTCAGAAATTTGTTTCCGTATGATAATTCTTATAATGGTTAAATTTTAAGAAAATTAATTTGAAAATTGTAACACCATAGTTAAACTTGATTAATGATTTCTCCTTTATAGAGCTGTCTACTTTGTCCTGTGAGATATAAAAAAATTGGTATCAGGGAATATATTTGCTGTACCCCAAAAGTCCTTCACTTTTAAATTAAGAAAGGACATCCACATTCTATAAATATATTTGCTTTGAGTGACAAAAACCAGGGAATTGAAAATGGGATACTTATTCTGATCAGAGTATATTTAATGAACACCATTTGAGTTTGAGAACTAGATATAACTGGATATCTTTTGGTGGTCTTGTAGTTTTGAGTATCTTTACATACCATAGTATGGAAGCTTCACAGCTATTTCCGACTATGGTTTCCTGACCTTGAAACTGTCTTAGATATACACATTAAAAACAAAGAAAGAATCAAATCTCTTAGCATGGTGTGTGACAAAAATTTTCATTAGTAGTTAATCCAGCCCATGTCTTTATAATTCTCTATTTAGTTCTAGGCCTTAATCTCTCACTGGAGCTTCTATTAGTAAGAAGAATCTCTGTCCCATTTTCACCTCTTCCTGGGATTTACCCATTTTATTATGAAATAGTCTCTTATTATATTAAAATATATTAAACCCCATAGCTAATTGACTCAGACCAATTATATGTGAAATTAGCAAATAAGTTATTCATCTGTTAATTGTACAAATTTTTCTGGCAACTCTTAAATATGTTTGCAAAATTCTAAGTCCAGAATAGCAAATAAATGTGGTTTCAAATTCTTATTTAGTAATAACAGCACCTCATGAAGCCTTAAGTATCATTCTGTAGACTTTATGATATCATAGGCTCAATCATTAAAAGTATTGATTAAGTACACCTATGTGATGCACATTAAATTAGGCAGAAGAGAGATGCTTGCTAACCAGAAACATATCTTTTTTGTTCCAGTGGATATAATGCTATGTAACAATAGGACTAATAGAGGTTAAAAATATTTTAATGAGAAAACAAATATTATTGTTTATTATACTAATAAATTTGCCTGCTATCTGCTATAGAGGAATGTTGACAGTATGTGTGAACAAGTCTGTACACTGTGGTAGGAACAGTTGTGTTGTTTCAAATGACTGCAATAGATGCTAAAGATGGAGTTTTCTTTTTTGTTTGACTCATTCAACTTGAGACATTTTTCAACTTGAAAAGATCTGCATATTCAAAGGGCTTCCTGTAATGTTAACTTGATGCAGCTGTTCACACAAAGGTTGGAAAACCCATTGAAGAAGCTGTTCTCTTTCATGTTTAATGTCCTTGTTGAACAAACACTTTAGCCATTGCTGGGCTCAAAGTCAGTATTAACGAGGGATGATCATATAGTTTCCTGGGTGTTCTTTGGACCTGTTACAATCCGTTGACAGGTGCATCATATTTCCTTACATTTCTGAAGAACTGTCAAATATAACCCCAGTTCTTAATCAAATTCTGATTTTTGGCATTCTTGACACAATAAGAAAATTAAAACTGACATTGTGAGTCCACATCTTCATTGGTAGCATGATTTGCATTTCCTTTCTCTCATTTTATTAACTTAATTATTGATGATTTGTACTGGACGTGATCAGTGGTAATAGCATAAAGAGGAATTACACACACACACACACACACACACACACACATACACACGTACACACACAGAAACACACACACACACACACGATTAAAAAGAAAAAGAAGCAACAAAAACAATAACAACAACAACAAAGCATCTTTAGCAGACTTGTTTGGAGGTTCTAGTAGGAAAGTGTAGCTACTTTTATGCTTCCAACAGAAGAACATTCTTTCTCTACATAGTGAAGGCTGTCATCTTTCTCCAAAGGGAACACAAACTGAGGAGTGAGGGAGGAAGGGGGCAAGAATCTTACCAGCCAGATCAGCTGAATCAATCCTGACAACCAGTGGGGTTCCAAATGTCACAGCCAGTTACCATAGCCAGTTATGTTTTGCTGTAAACTTTTTAGAAATCTGTTCTTTTCAAATGAGAGACAGAAAGGGATGGGGAGATGGAAGACAGATGGATGGGGAGGAGGGGAGGAACTAGGAGAAGTAGAGGGAAGAAAACTGTAATCACAATATAGCATATGAAAAATAATCTAGTTTCAATGCACGGGAACAATAAAAACATATATTTCACAAGTTGATAATTTTAGACATGTTTTCTGAGTCTTTGTCATTTAATCCCATTTCCTCCTACAGAACTGTACTTTCCTACAAGCACCCTTCTATTTAAGGTCATTTTTTAAAAATTTCACTGATCATAATTAAGGTGGTTTGCTGGAGCATTAATGGGAGTATTTGCTAAAATAAGAGTAATTTATCAGTGGCTACCACACTGAAGAAAAGGCTGCCCCTCCCCACAGCACCCATTGCTCTCAGAGACTGCTGAAACCACATGAGCATGTTTTCTTCCTTTGCGCAGTAATGGGAA